TGATGAAAGCAGTGAAAAGTGATTGTCCAGGAGCAGCTGACGAGATATACTGCGAACATCTTTTCTTCTCTTGAGTTTATTTTTCTCTCTTATTGCATCTGATAATGATTCTCGATAATTCTGAGACGCTGATAAAGCCGTGAAATCGATAATCGTTGACAAGATACCATGCGTGAATTTCTTTGCTCCTCGGTCTTCTTAATCTGGTACTGAATCGGACAGTGCTCAAAATTGATATGTCCCGGAAAGTGATATATTTGTTCGAAGTAGCAAAGTGGTTGTTGACTACTGTAACCGGGTAGGACAATCTAGCAGGTAACCGTAATGGACTGGTCCTCGTCGTAGTGGTAGGCAATCGGCTTAGGCAATAGGCGAATACTATAGGCGTCGTCCATTTACCTTCACATCAGTTTGTATTTATGTTGTAGAGTAGTTTTCACAGTGGAGGCTTGTATTTCAATAAGTCGTCCTAAATTAGGTTCGACGTACAAAACGTTAGGAACTTGAAATAAGAGTTAATGACGCAGCAATCTAGTTGTGATGGTTGATACTTCAATGTCCGACAGACTCACTCAACACCACTGAGCCCCAACTGGCCACTGCTACTACTACTTATTATCTGTGGGAGAGTCTATTACAATAGAATAGGTATTATGGTATAACAATTTATGGCTGACACCAGCCAATCATATTACTGTGAGGGGGAACCCAGGTGTATGCATATTCATTACATCAAAAATCAATTCGTAGATAAGGATAGCAACAGTGTAAACAATGATTGTCTTGGAGTAGTTTGTGAAATATTTTCGCCGATCAGACGTCATCAAAAATAACCCGTTTCTAAGTGTTTAATGTAATCAAAAAAATATCAAAAGGTTTTCTCACAAGCTTTTTGGGGAATATGCAAACAATTCACATGTCAGTAAAAAACATACAATGAGAGATTTGTTCTGTAAGATTCAATGTAAGGAGATAACGATATATAAAATTATATATCAAAGACAATATTGAGGAAATGTATGACAAAATGGAAAAAAATCGTCTGACTAGTTTCGTCCATTAAGACGTCATTGAACTAGAATGGCTATGTTGGTGCGACTACGCATGCACACGAATGCTGAATGCTGGGAATTTATTTATTTTTTAAAAATCTAGCCGATTTATTTAGATTCTTTTTTGTTTTCATCACTTTTGTTAGTAGATATCCACACTGTGATAATAGACGTTCTGCCAGGAATGATGAAATGTTGCAAGAACCAAGGCGCAAATTTATTGTAGATCACCTTGCCATCAAGGCACTTTCTAGGCATTTCCATTATGGTGAATTGCTTTCTCCTTTATTTTGACATAAAAAAATGATCCTCTGTTCAAAGGACAAAACAATTCACTACAACGTAAATACCTAGAGAGTGCCTTGATAGCAAGGTTATCTACAGTAAATTTGCGCCCGGGCTCTTGCAACATTTCATCATTCCTAGCAGAACTGCTATTATCATAGTGTGGGATATCTACTCACTAAAGTGATGGAAACAAAAAAAAAAAAAAAAAAAAAAAATTAAATGAAATCGGCTAGATTAAAAAAAAAAAAAAAATTGAAAATTTCCCGGCATCCGTTTCGTGCGCATCTGTAGTCGCACTAACAACAAATCTAGTCTAATGAAGTCCTAAAGGACGAAACGCGCCGCAAGAAAACTTTTCTCCACTTTGTAAAACATTCAATGTATGACAAAGTGTAATCTTTTTTGTTTTTTTTTTGTAGAAAACCATACAATTACGAGGATCGTTCGAAAATAGATCCCGTTCTTTAATTATATTTTATATAATATATTATAAAATATATTATATAATATATTATATAATTATATATTATGCCGCATAAGGCCGCCAGATAGTGTTGCGGTTTCTATAACAAGCCACTTTTTAAATGAGTATGTTGTTAGCCTACAGCATAAACCCCAATCTGGAGGATCAGGTTTTGAATTCAGAGTTGTCCTTCTCCTAGACCAGTTGCTATCCAAGGCTATAGAACTATTTACTAAATAGCGAGTGCGGGGGAGAACAAGAGGATTCATACCTTTCCCAAGCACGTAAGTGAATATAATGCATTGGTATTCCTCAATCCGAGCTGTTATCTATTACTCTACCATGTCTTTCATTCCCAGAAACTTAATAGTAGAACTACAAAAATATTATGAACATGAACACAATAATCTCAGCTTTCCAAAATATACTCTTTAAAGTAGTCTCTTTCCTTCTCAGTCACTTTATTCCGCTTTTGAATAAGGATATTCATACCCATTTTTTTTATCAATTCACTCTCAAGCAAGGCGACAACGTCACTAAAACGCAAGTGGCTACTACAAGTTAAGGAGAAAGAAACCAAATCCTAAACAAGAAATAAGGGATAAAACTCTACTCCTGTTTAAAAAAAAAAAACTCGGGAAAGGATGTGAACTGGAATATAGATTAAACATATCTACTTCTACTGAAGTTTAGGCGGAAGCGTTAGAAGTATAGACTTTGGAAGGAAATGGAAACACAATCCTAAACAAAAACGAAGCGATAAACATCTACTCCTGTTCATAAGACTGAGGATGAGTGTGAACCGGACGATAGGCGAACCTATCTACTCCTATTGAGGAAGGGAAAAAAATAAATAGTAAATAAAATTTCAGAGTTTAGGCGGAGGCGTTAGAAGTATTGAGTTGATATGAAAATATTTTTACGCGATCAAAGTAATGTTTGGTCGGCATATATCATGTCATATAATTTGCTGGTAGATGTGTGCATACTTCAACAGGTCGACCGGTGCATCAGATTTGTTTTTGATAAAAGTTAAAAAATAACCATTTCAGAGTTTAGGCGGAGACGTTAGAAGTATAGAGTCGAAGTGGACTTTAGAAAGAACCGGAAACACAATCCTAAACAGGAAACCAGAGATAAACCTCTACTCCTGTTCAAAAATCCGGAGAGAAGTGTGAACCGGACGAAAGTTGAACCTGTCTTTGTAGAAACATGTTGTCTTCTTTCTGAGTTTATCTTTCGCCTTGTCATCATTGGAGAGCAAATGAATGCCTCTCTTGTGGACTGTGTATTGATGGTCTTGACACTCTTGGGCAGAAACTACTACCTGCTGCTTCATGGACTCTGTCAGCAATGTTAGCTCCTTCAAGGGTTCATGCGAAATAATCATTTTCCTGTAATGAGAGAATCAGCCTGATAAGCCTCATTTTCATGCATAGCAGCGGCTTGCTTGCCACTTTACTGCCTGTCTGTTTATCCGTCTCTTGTAGGAATACTATTAACGTTAGAGACCAATCTCTTTACTGTGGTTGCATCAAATGCTGCCGTTCGGTAAAATTTCATTCTGCAAATTTTTGCGGCATTTTCTTCTGAAAACCGGAAATATAAAACCGCGTTGTACGTGAATCTAGAAGGCATCCATTATGTGATGGGATTATGGGTAGGAAAAGAAAAGTTGACCACAAATTTTTCCTTTACATTTCTAGACACTTTATGGATTATAGCTAAATTCTCTTAGGAATTCTCACCTTTTAAAAAATATTTCCATGTCATTTTAGAGCATAGGCGATCACGGCTTTCCACGGTTTCCTTTTTATTATCTCTGAATTGCTTTGTCTTTTTGGGAAAGATAGTGGAGTGGTTTTCCGTTGTCTTCGCCTAGGTTTGAAATTCAATCTGCCATCCAATGCTAGAAGGTCCAGTCCACATTGGGTTTTAACCCACAGATGACAGAGGAGACAAAATAAAGATTTATTAAATTTCCCCAACATGAACTCAACAGATGCGGTCGAAATTTGACATTTGCACTATCTTCAGATCCCATTTCAGACCCATAATTTTGAAAATTAAATTAGAATAGGCATCTTGAAATTGAGATCTTTGAGAAAAGTGTTCAAATGAGTCAAGTATTAAGAAGAGTGATTAGATTATTATAAGTACAGAAGCCTAAAAAGAGAGCAAAATTATTATGTTGCATTTTCTTTTTCTCGTTGAAACATATCCAAAACTTTTCCGTTCGTCCTCGCCACGGAAACAGAATCCTAACTCGAGCGTAACAATTAAAAAAAATAAAAATATAACCTATCAGTTCCATCTCATTATGAAAGTTTTAATCACATTAATTTGTTCTTATTTGAAATTTTTGGTAGCACCTGCCTTCTCTTCGAGCAACGTTGCAAAAATTCTTCAAAATAAAATTGTATTAACATTTGATTTAAAACTAGTGAGTGAGTTTCGAATCAACAAGAAAGTGGGGAAATGGAAATGAATATTTTCTTTTTAGACTTCCGGGGAGCGTTGTTATAACGAGGCTCTGAATGTGAAATCGAAGAGCCGAGTTCGAATTCCAATCGAGTTCGTTACATTCTCGCAAATATCTTTGGGAAAGGCATGTATGGGTTGAATAGTAGGAAAGGCTGGTTTCTATAGGCTTGGTTGGCAGCCAGTCTACTGCAGAAAGAAATGGAAACCTTCTGCGCGGAAAATCTTCTGCCTAGTCAGTCATGGATCGAAAGAGACATGATCACCCAAGAGTGTATCCCGTATGGTACTTAAATGACTGTAACATTATGAACGTTAGAATTTGGGGACGAACAAAACTGTCCATTAATATCTACAAAGTATAAAATTTCTCTTTGTAACGGAGTAAAAAAAAGAAACAATATATTCCAATGCACTTCAAATTAAGAAATTATTGGTGTCACCAGCACGATTCTATTAGTAGTTGCTATTAGTATAAGCACTCGGGAAGATTAGAAACCTCCAGTTTGTTTTAAGTTGAAACATGAGTACCCGTACGATCACCGAAGTCATTCAACATCGAGCAAGGTCGGATGGTCGCTTGTGAATCGCAAGCATGGTCTAGACGGATAGTCGCTTGTGAATCGCAAGCAAGGTCTAGACGGATGATCGCTTGGGAATCGCAAGCAAGGGCTAGACGGATGGTCGCTTGTGAATCGCAAGCAAGGTCTAGACGGATGATCGCTTGGGAATCGCAAGCAAGGGCTAGACGGATGGTCGCTTGTGAATCGCAAGCAAGGTCTAGACGGATGATCGCTTGGGAATCGCAAGCAAGGGCTAGACGGATGGTCGCTCGTAATCCGCAAGCAATTTAGGCGGATGGTCGCTTGGAAATCGCAAGCAAGGTCTAGACGGATGGTCGCTTGAGAATCGCAAGCAAGGTCTAGACGGATGGTCGCTTGTGAACCGCAAGCAAGGTTTAGACGGATGGTCGCTTGGGAATCGCAAGCAAGGTCTAGACGGATGGTCGCTTGGGAATCGCAAGAAAGGTCTAGACGGATGGTCGCTTAGGAATCGCAAGCAAGGTCTAGACGGATGGTCGCTTAGGAATCGCAAGCAAGTTCTAGGCGAATGGTCGCTTGGGAATCGCAAGTTAGTTCTAGGCGGATGGTCGCTTGGGAATCGCAAGCAAAGTCTAGACGGATGGTCGCTTGGAAATCGCAGGCGTGTTCTAGGCGAATGGTCGCTTGGGAATCGCTGTTTTAGTAAGTGCTATTGCTAACGGTTCACAATTGAAAATCGGGTTGTCGAGTTCAATTTCAGTCGGGTTCGTTATATTCATCTTTGTGCAAAAACCCTTGCGAAAATATTGATCTACCTCTACTTTCCCACCTATGGGTAAATTAACAAGACTTGTATCACTAAACCATTATTATCTTAAAAATAAAAATATCTTAGAATTAATATATATATATATATATATATATATATATATATATATATATATATATATATATATATAGTTGAATATTTAGACAGAAATCCTTCGTTTATGCATGTTTCATTAAAAACGACAGATAAATTACTACGGTTAAGCTTTTTATTTAAGTTTTCTTGTGTTCGAAAAAGAACATCCCTACCACACACTAAGACATACACATAATGCACACGCTCAGTTAAGCTGAAAAATTGAATCATCCTTGATAATGGCTAAAGGTATAGCCGAAAGCGCTCGGAAATATAAAACATTTGGATAGTTTTTACACACCCTTTGTCCAGAAAAGAAAGCTCTTGTTCGAACACATGAAAAATTAAATAAAAAGCTTAACCGTAGTACCATGTCTGTCATTTTTAATGGAACATGTATATATATATATATATATATATACATATATATATATATATGCGTGTGTGTGTGTGTGTGTATTTTTTTGCTTTAAATAATCTGCAAATCTGTAGAAAACGAATCGATCAATCAAAACATATACAGAAAGTGGTTAAGCCTTCTAAAAGGCGATCTTAATCCGAAGGTCATGCTCTATATCCTGTTGAATTTGAAAAGCATTGTCTATTACGTACTCTTTCCTCAGAATCAGACGTTTAATTCGGACAATTAATGTTCTCTTTTCGACGAGGTAAATGCTAGCAATAGATGACAAGAGTCCAGAATTGGTCAGTCGGAATAGTATCGTCTTTTATTAAAACCCACCAATATAGAAACCTAACAGAAACAAGTGAAACATGGTTGGGATATACTAGTACATCCCCTGACCTCTCACCTTCGGATTACCACTTATTTCCACTCCTACGAATTTATGATAATGGTACTAATTTCAGTTCCTTAGTAACCTGGAAAAAACTCTTAAATCAGCTCATCACCTAGATAGATACCAGGCTCTGCCTTTTTTTTTCAAATCAATTCACCCCAAGCAAACGATAATGCCACAAAAACACAAGATGCTCCTTGGAGTGTAACAGAATGAACCGGAAATCCAACCCTAAACACGAATCAAGGGACAAAGCTCTACTCCTGTTAAAAAAACGAGAAGGAGTGTAAACTGGTCGATCGGCGAACCTATCTACACCTATTGAGGAAAAGAATAACAAATAAATAAAAAATAAACTTTCAGAGTTTAGGCAGAGACGTTAGATGTATAGAATTGAACTAGATTTTAGAAGTAGTCGGAAAACCGAGGTTTATCTCTTGTTTCCTAAACAGGAAACAAGAGATAAACCTCTACTCCTGTTCAAAAGACCTGGGTGGATTGCGAACCAAGTGATAGGCAAACCTATCTACTCCTATTGAGGAAAAAAAAGCAACAAATTAAAATTTCAGAGTTTAGGTGGAGACGTTAGATGTACAGAGTTGAACTATGTTTTAGGCAGAATCGGAAACCCAATCCTAAACAGGAAACAAGGGATAAACCTCTATCCCCGTCCTAAAGACCGCTGAGGATTGTGAGCTTGACGATAAGCGAACATATATTTTTGGAGAATAGAATTATTAATCTAGAAATGGTAAAAGACAGTGGAACAAAATGGTACATATGTAGTTGAAGGTACAAATATTTAAATTGAGTTGGTGTTAATTTTAAGTGGGATTCCATTGGTCTCTTTTGTGTAATTTTTAATGTCTACCAATCTTTTGCATATCGAAAACGCTCCCGACGTCAGCATGTTTCTTCCATATTCCAACATATTCCAAGCTTCTTACGGATTTCACGTTCACTCATTCTTTGTGATATTTCGATAATTTTCATCTGCTTTTCCGACCTCGCACTTCCAATTCAAATGAACTACACTATAAGGAAAAGTGGAAATTTGCCGATTTTATGTAATGAACATTTGACGCGCATGCATATCTTAATCAGGGATTATTTCTTTTTACAATGATGCTCATCCTGTCAAAAGCCTAACTGCCACTCGAGGTAGAGTGTTACAGAGTAAGAGGCACCGTTTATAGGTATATGCAAAGGGGATAACGGTTAACCCTAGATTTGAACAGGGAAACATCCTTTTGGCAGTCGGTTCCACAAAGTAGCGGTTCGTAGGAAGAAGCTGTTCAAGTGGATCTTACATCTCATCAATAGAATGCGGAGGGAATGCGGATGATTCGCTCCAATGGATGTGGCATGTTGGGTCTTACCCGTGGAGGTTAGAACTGGAGGAACTAAGGAGTGTAGCTCTTCAGAACATATGCCATGGAAATAGCGATAGAGCAAAGACAGGCTTGCGACCTTTTGTCTGTGCGAAAGGGGTTGTGGGGTGGAAAATATTTCATCACCCACCAGGACGCGGAGAAGTTTTTGGACTAGGTCGAGACTGGAAAGTGAAGACTGGGCAGCCCCTGTTCATATATAGCAGTAGAACTCCATTTTCTTCCTGATCTGGCTCTTGTAAGCGTAGAGAATAGTATGAGGAGTCAGTTACTTAATGGAACGGTAGAGGGAACCGATCATTTTTCCAGTATCTTTAGCAATGGGTCGTATTTAGGAGTTCCATTTAAAGTCTGGGTTGAGTTTAAGTCCCAATAGGCGTTCAAGGCAAGGGACATTCCCGAGAGAATATCCATTTATCGCGATTGGTGAATGTTCTGATTCCGACGTGGGAAAATCATCTTAGATAACTGGTGCAGTAAATACGAGTAAATTGAGGTCTGGGTTGAGTAAGCCCTAATAGGCGTCCAAGACACGCGGCGTCGATGATCTTGAGGAGTGTCCATTGGCTCATAACATTCAAATGCCTTATTTTCAGTATCATGGTATGGTCAGTTCTGTACCTCTTCTTGTCCTTTAAATACGATAACATTAATTACAGTCTTGAATGACCACAGCTAAGTCGATTTTAGTCGGGATCATCGAGTCAGTGCAAACTATCCTTTCCTTAGCTGCATAATATGTGCTTCACGAGACGTAAATATACTGTGGATGATCTAGCGATTAAAGCACTTTCTATACATCTTCGTCTTTTTAAATTGCTCTCTCTTTTGATTAGAGTACCATATTTTTAAATCAAAATTATGGTCAAACTCGTTACAATGAGCAATCGATGCATTTAATGTGTTGTATTGTAAAAGATTCCTTTTGTATTCATATAATCTTTTATTTAAATTCCTTGAGGTTTCTCCGATGTATTCCTTGTGACAATTATTACAGGTGATAAAATAAATTCCTCTTTCTTCACTGAGAAGAAAATGTATAGAAAATATATTAATCACTAGATCATCCACAGTAAATTTATGCCGAGTTTCTTATAACATTTCACTATCGCTTGTATATAAAATCTAAGGAAACTGTTGGAAACCTAATATATGGATGTTCTTTCCTACTCACGAATGAATTCAAATAGACACACGGTGGTAACTGTAATGGTAATATTAATCGTTTCTTTATATTTAACTGTAAGGCTAATATTAATCGTTTCTTTATATTTAACTGTAAGGCTAATATTAACCGTTTCTTTATATTTAACTGTAAGGGTAATATTAACCGTTTCTTTATATTTAACTGTAAGGCTAATATTAATCGTTTCTTTATATTTAACTGTAAGGCTAATATTAACCGTTTCTTTATATTTAACTGTAAGGGTAATATTAACCGTTTCTTTATATTTAACTGTAAGGCTAATATTAATCGTTTCTTTATATTTAACTGTAATGGTAATATTAAACGTTTTTTATATTTAACTGTAAGGGTGTATCTTTATAAGGTAACATTTTCCATTCTTTGACGTTGCAGTCAGTGTTACTTAAGCTTGAAATTTATTGAATCTTTCTCTTGAAACAATTTTTCAGGAAAATAGTTCTTCTCAATTCCACTAACCATCATCGATTTTTCCCGTATTAGGAAATGTTTTTCATTCCTAATATTTTGTTTTAAAGTAGTATGGAAAATCAGCATCTTAATTATACGATTATTTTCTCTTCGAGTTACTTATGATATTCATTTTAGTCGTTGTTGCCGTTGAAAGTGCTTGTGTGATGTGGTTTCTCTTATTTAGCACAATTCTTTGTGATTATGTAGCGCCAGTGCACGAGGTTCGAAAAAGGATAGTCTTCGCTGAATCATACGGATCATTTTTAACGATAGGTCTGAGGAATCGGTTGCATGCAGTTGGCATGTTAGCTATTTCTGAACGAGCATGACGCAATGCATGGCATCCATAAGAAAGTTTCCAGTGTTTCGTTTATTGTTTTTGCTTTGTAGAAACTTGCGGTATTCTATGAAACTACCCCGAAACATCGACCTTTTTCATTGAGACAAACGCCCAATTACACAGACAAACAAAAGCAAACAAACAACCAAAAAACAATTTTATTTTATCTGTAGGAATATTACATCCTTCTTCTTGTATTG